AAGTTGTGGAAGGTCAAAGAAGGTTGAAGAAGATGAAAGAATGAACCAATGAAGGATCCGAAGATATTCCGTATCAAGGACAATACATCCCTCGCTTTACTCTAGCCTGGCCGCCTCAGCTTTGATCTAATTTTATCATTTCTCTTATTCTTATTCTTTATCATTTCTCTTATTCTTATGATGCACAAGCAAGCGCGATTCAACGGCTGACCTTTGCGTGTATAGCAGAGCCGAGATAAACCACTACACCATGCGACCAACGTAAGGACAATTCATCCCTCGCTTTACTCTAGCCTGGCCGCCTCAGCTTTGATCTAATTTTATCCACCAAAGCAACAAAAGCATTGTTCACGATTATTTTGTAGTCGCGTCTCGCCTAATACTCATTTATTCATCGATAGGCTCCAAACGTCAAGCAGATTGTTGATAACACCCCCATCAGCAAATCTGCAAACGTCGGCGTATTGGAAACCTATGCTCGATATATCATTCGGCATTTTGACGTGAGTTCTCATTTCTTTTCTTTCCGTGTTTTAAACTAATGTTACTTTAGGTAGGTATTGGAAGTTCATTATCGACAGCATAACAGCATCCGCATCGATGTTTACCGTCGTGAGAAAAAGGCCGAGGACAAGCTGGTCAAGAAGCTGGTGCGCGGGGACGCCAATACGACTGTGTTTTGGGGCAGTGGATCGAAATTCTTCAACAAGAAAACGACCGACAACCGGCGTGGCACCCCAGCAACAGCAAAGCGCTTCCTGAGAGCCGTCCTTAGACACCGGCTGGTGTCTAAGGTCGTCATTGTGGACGAGTATCGTTCATCGACGATTGAATCATATACCTACAGCCGGGTGAAGCATGTTCCTTGGGAGAGAGATGGAGATGGAAATCCGGGACGTTCGATATACTCAGTTCTGCGTGCACAACACGACGGGACTATTTGAGCTCAGGTGATCAGATAAATAAAGATGAACTCACCTTGCCTTCATGGAAGTACTGAGAACGTCGTGCATCTTGTCGCGAAACTCTGGGTCTTGCCACCTTAATATTTAACTCATTTTAATTTATGGCCTTTGCCACATGGATAGTCGAGCCATACCTGAGTTTGCGGAGTCGTTGCAGGCCCTCCAGAAATTCAACAGCAAAAGCAAGGCACTTTGGGCGATCCCGGCGGCAGGCTAAACCGGTACAACACTTTGCCGACGTTCTTTCCTACTGTTGGTTGCATAGTCTCCCACTGAATTCCGAGTCGTCGCAGGCCCTCCAGAAATTCAAGTCCCGAAAGGTTCGCCGTCTCAATCCCGCTCCATGCGTGAGGCAAATGCTGAAAAAGCCACACGACAAGATTGACTTGCAGCTGATCATCAACGACCAGGTGCTCCTTTACCGGATGAATCGCAAAAAGATTGTTCTTATGCAGTTTCGAGTTTGTCCATTCGAGATCAGCTTCGAAAGCACCGAAAAGCTGAGCTTCCTTGATAACTTTCTCGAGTTTCAGAAAAGTAGGAGGCATCCAGTTATTCATGGTGCCACTCTGAAAAGCACCCACCAAGCGCGATTGATATTCACGATAGTAGTTAATGCGGGGCTTGAAATGTTCGACAAGTTGTGCAGAGTCTGACATTCCATGAGATGCCGCTACTAGCGACTGAAAGTGCTGCAGATGGCTAAAGTAAGCCTGCGGATCCGTTGCCTGTTGATGCATGTTTCCTATATCGAGCTCAAAAAGTGTTCAGTCGACATTTTCAGGCTCCGCCTCCTTCTGCAACGGTGTGAGAATTCAAAGGGGCTAATTGGGGGCTGCGGCGAAGGAAAGCCAAGAGGTTCTACAATGTTCATCCAAGATTTGGTTTTGGAGTCTGTGGCGCAAGTGGCCGATACAGCTGCAAAGTGCTCTATCTTTCGTCGTCACCTCGAGGGTTCAAGAGAAGCGCTGAAGAGAAAGAGCTGAACTCGGAGATCAACAAGAAACGCTATAAAAATTTACCTCAAGAAAAGAAGGATGACTTGGCAGTAGAAATCAAAAAGCGCTGGGAGAATCCGTTGTATAGAGCAAGCCTCTCAGCCAAGCAAAAAGAAAGGTACGGAAGTTACTATAATCTTCTTCTGTGAAATGACGAGTTGATTAATTGGGATGTACAGATGGAAGGATGAAGTTTACGCAGAGGCCATGACAGCAATGCTACGACTGAGGTATGACATTTACTAATAATTAAGCCGTAGCTTGGGACTCAGCGGAATTATAGGGCTCTTGATGAAGAATTCCGCGCAAAGCTTAGCGCCGCTAGAACGTTATTGTAAGTGTTGGAGATGCTTTCTGATGAATTTTACAATAACAATACAACTATGCAAAGATGGATTAACCCACTATATCGGGAGAAGATGATGGTTGTCCTCAAACTCAGGTATAGCTCGACTATCCATTTGGCAAAGGCAATAAACTAAAATGTATTAAACATCAAGGTGGCAACATCCAGAATTTCGCGACAAGATGGTGGAAGCGATGAAATTGAGGTGAGCTCCTTGTTCCATTTATCTGAGCAATTGAATCAAAAGAAAATGTGCTCAAGCGTTCAAAAATCAAGGTGGCAACATCCAGAATTTCGCGACAAGATGCACGACGTTCTCAGTACTTCCATGAAGGCAAGGTGAGTTCATCGTTATTTATCTGAGCACCTGAGCTCTTTAGGTTGCTTTTGGCTTCATTTGTATCTAATCTCTTTCATCATCTAGATGGGCAGATGAAGCTAATCGATTGCGGACATCTTTGAAAATGGCCGCCGCTGCGATAATTCGACTTCAACAACTTCGTAATGAATTGAGTGATATTGAAGCAACACAGTACGAAGAACTTGTTCAGCTCTCCGAGTTAGAGCGGCAGAAAGCAATCATCGATGGATACGTGGAATTGGATATCTTCCAAGCTTTGGATGCTTTCTTTGCTGCTAGCCCCGAGGGTACTTTAATTGATGGCACATTTTTCCTTCGCGCAAAACTATTGTTCATCACAGGACCGGGTCGATTCGTTTACGATTTCGAAATACAAAACTACCCACATGACGACGCATTCGCCTTCGCCAACATTCTCCGTGATCTCGCGCTTGGACCGGGCCAAATTGTGAATTACAGCGCAAAACTAGCCATTGAAAACATGACTCCGATGAATTCTTTATTCAACGCCAAGCCCATGGACGACCTCTGCGGCAGCGGGAACAATAATGCTGCTTTCTGCCACTTTGGGCAGTTCAAGGCCAACCTTTCAGCAAAGACGGTGAGAGGAACGTTTGCTTTTGTTGCTGATATGGGTGGCAGATCCAGTGGAGAGTCTGTTTTGGTTTCTTTGTTGTGCGGAGCGGCATCAAAGAGTATCTCTGATCGAACTGAGGAGGTTATTGCCCGTGCTTGTGGGCTTTTGAAATTCTTCCGGGACCATTCAGGCCGCCGCATCGATGCTAAGAACTCGCTTTTGAGGTTCTGGTACAAGCCGAATGTGCTGAACATGGTCGGTTATAGGAAAAGGATTTTGGGGGACTGGCCGATCTATAGACTGCCTGAGACACAAGAGTATGTTGAGAAGGAGTGGAGAGTTTACAAAAAATGAAGGTGTGTGATACCAATTTAGTTAGGACCAATATGTTATACTTACAGCGATGCTTGCAGATCCTCTTTGTATATTCAGTATAATCAAACAAACCCCTCTTAAATGTTGAAATATATGAAACTATGCCTTCTGCCTCTTGATCCTCCTTCTTCCTTCCACTCTCCTTCTATTTATTCTTTAATAGTTACTTATCCAAAATCATTTCAATGCCGTGAGTCTTTGCCCAGTTACTGAAACATGACCTTCAGCCGGTCTTGATTGTGAAACATCGATATCTCCTCTTCCTCCCTCTCTTCGTCTGCGTCCACAGCCCTCGCTTTCTTCGCCTTCGACTTTTCCCTCTTTATTTTCTTCTTCTCTGCCTCTCTCCTCTTTCGTTTCGCTTCCCAGTCTTCAAGGTACTCTACAAACTTCTTTGCAAATTCTGAATAGTCACGAGAGTCGTAGATTGGGTGTAGAATGTTGCGGGACCATTTTGCTGCATTTCGCGCTTGGGCAAGTGCCTTGTTTGTATAAATTTGGTGGAGGATGTGATCGGAATCTATGTAGAATGAAGTCACAGAATTAGCGATGTTTTCAAAAGGTGCGATGAAAGGCAACATACCTGCAGGCGACGTTCCACACTCCCTGTAGAACTCTTCATGTTGCTTTATATTCAGCGGGCAAAACTTGCTCGTTCTTCTGTCGTGGTTGTTGAAGGCATCCGGGTCACTGGTGCCGCAGATGCACTGCTGGCTTTGGCGTTCGTCGGTGCGCTTCAGGGAAATGGTGACGTCGCTGATCTTCTTTCCTTCGTCTAAACAACCAACTGCATTAGCAATCGAATGAAGATCAATTGGTTGCTTGGGTGTCATACGGAAGTTGTCAGAAAGGAGCCGAGTTTGAGTTGAACCTGAAGACTGACACTGAGTACTCCCGCAAAAATGAGAAAACAACACAAAACTCACAGTCTTTCCTTTGCTGCTGGTAGCAGATCCAACTCCAGTAACGTTATTGCCTTCCAGTGAGCGTTGAATGGCCATCTGTTTAGCACATTGAAGTTGGTGAAAGATGTCTTACTTGAATATCAATGTCCAGTTGCTTATCCGAAAGTGAGAAGGGAAGTGATACCAGCAAAGGCCACGACACAGCGCCAAATTTCATCAAAATAAACCAGGTCATAATATACGACATCTTTCTATTTTGGTGATTTGGGATGTTGCAGAGCTGGAGCTTTTGAACCAAGAGTGTAACAAAAAAAAAAAAAAAAAAAATATGGTCGCATCCGGGATCGAACCGGAGACCTCCCGCGTGTGAAGCGGATGTGATAACCTACTACACCATGCGACCACTTGATATTTTGCTTTTAACTAAAATATTTCTGTCTCTGAAATCGATGTTAGTGATACAGATTGTGGAAAGATCGCATTACAGCTAATTACCCCGTGGAGGGCCGTTCTATTATTGAAAATTTGGAGCGAGGTCCGACAAGCCTTCATGAACTTCCTGCCTTCTTTTCTGTAGGAATCTTTCAAATTTCGAAAAACGCTGAAGACTTTAGACGCCATGTTGACTAAGGGCGGCTCGTTCCTCACCGTTCATCTCTTGGCTTTCGCTTCTTCTTTTTCTTTTCTGGATAAAGTTGGTTTAACGATCTA